GAGTAGCTAGGATTACAGGCGTGAGCCACCAGCGCCCGGCTCTCTCTTCTTTTGTTGGTCGTGGAGCTTGAACTCTGGGTTTGGGTGCTGTCCTTGTGCTTTTCAGCTCAAGGCTCTACCGCTTGAGCCACAGCTCCACTTCCGGTTTCCTAGTGGTTTATAGGAGATAAAGAGTCTCACCGACTTTCCTGCTCGGGCTGGCTTTGAATTGTGATCCTCAGATCCCAGCCTCCTGAGTAGCTAGGATTACATGAACCATGGGTGCCCGGCTCATATACTGTATTTCTTTTTTTTGGGGGGGGGGGAGTTCCAGTCGTGGGGCCTGAACTCTGGGCCTGAGCGCTGTTCCTCACTTGAGCCACAGCGCCACTTCCGGCTTTTTTCTTATGTGGTGCTGAGGAATCGAACCCAGGGCCTCAGGTATGCAAGGCAAGCGCTCTACCACTGAGCCACCTTCCCAACCTCATATACTGTATTTCTTAAAACACACACATTTTTCCCCCTAGTACTTAGACCTGGATCCATGGACTCACCCATGCTAAGCAACCTTTACCACCATGCTACACCCCCAGTCCTCTTAAAAATTATAAAATAAAAAGTCTAAAGTTGCCCAAGCTGATCTTGAACTCGCCATTCTCCTGCCTCATCCTCCCTGTCTGTGTTACTGAGGTTTGAGCCACACCTCCCGTCTCTTCTAACCTTTGTTTTTAATTGTGATAAGATGCTGGGCATAGGTGGCTCACACCTGTAACCTGAGCTACTCAGGAGGCTGAGATCTGGGGACCATGTTTCAAAGCCAGTTCAAGCAGAAAAATCTTTTTTTTTTTTTTTTTTTGCAGTCCTGGGCTTGAACTCTGGTCTTGGGGGCTGTCCCTGAGCTCTTTTTGATCCAGGCTAGATCTCTATCACTTGAACCACAGCACTACTTCCAACTTTTTATGATTAATTGGAGTTAAAGAATCTCACAGATTTTCCTGCCTAAGCTGGCTTCAAACCGTGATCCTCAGCTCTCAGCCTCCTGAGTAGCTAGGATTACAGGCAAGAGCCACCAGCGCCCAGCTGTAAAACTCACCTCCACTAAACTTCAAAAAGAGCCATAAATAGAGCTATAGATCAAGTGGTGAAGTGCTAGCCTGGAACAAAAGAAGTTCAGGGACAAAGTTCCAGGCCTTGAGTTCAAATGCCAGCACAGCACCAATGCACAACTGGCACGCGCACACACACATTATATTGAGAACTTGTGTCCTAGGGATTCACTGTGACCTAGGTGATTTATGCACTTGATCCCCTTTAATCATGACAGCTTTAGAAGATGAGGTTCTCTCATTCCATACAGAGGACAAACGCGCTCTGGAGGGTCTAACAATGTCGCGGAGGGTCCTGGAACTCGCAAGGGGTGCCGGCGCCACGGGATTCCAGGATACCTCCAACACCTGCGCAAGCTTTTGTCCCCCTGCCGGTGTGGCCACTTGTCCAAGCAGAGAGAGGGTCAGAGTGCGGTTGGGGATCAGGTGTCCCGGGAGCTGGCACTTGGATGAGAAAGCTGCCACCAAAGACTTGTAGTGCGGGCAGTGACGGCGGGATCGGCCGCGCGGGGCTACCCGCGGGCCGAGGAGCGCCCAGCGGCCCCCCGCTCCGCGGCCACCCAGAGCTCGGGAGATCGTGGAACCCTCGACACCCCGGGGGAGTTCCAGGCCTCGCTTAGGTCCTGCGGATTCTCCCGGGCGAGGGGCTGCAGGGCTGACAGCGATCGGTGGGACTCCAGGGGGCGCCCTCGTGACGCGCACGCCCGAACCCCAGAAACCTCCCCCGCCCCAAATCACTGCGGGCCTGCGGCAGCCGCCCACAGCGCCCCTGGGGGTCGCGGCCCCGCCTTCCCAGCCCCCGGAAGTGACGTCGACGACGGCGGCGTCAGGGTGGGGCCCCAGCACAGCCCGGGGGGGTTCGAGAGTGGCG